ATTGCATAATTTGTTGAAAGTAATTTTTTTATTTACCACTTGTTTGGAAAATACCTCGGTCCTGGGTAGAACCAGCAAGAAACCCAACGGGACTTTTTTAACATATTTCACTTTACGAAAATTTTGTTTGTACAATTTTTAAATTAATTTGAATAGAACCAGGATGATGTTGATCACTTCATTCCCATGGGTTATTTTCACTTATGTATTCTGTGATATTATAATAGCCCTTTTTGTAGAATTTTTCTATAATAAAACACTTGTTTATTGACAAATTTTGTACAATGCATTGGCTGCAGCATCCACTAACCATCAGGTGGAACGTAAGTAATCACTACAGTTTTATAAAAAGCAATTGTCTATTTTAAGGATAAATAGCAAGTAACCTAGCGTGACCATCCATTAAATAATAATTCGCTCCATCTTTCCCCTTTTACCTTAGCCATTATCGGAACCCTCTACCAGACCGAAGCGGAATCAAAATTGACTACCAATAGAGATTTTTCCATACCGGTACCACTCAGACCTTCAAGAAAAAGCCTACTCCATTTCAAAAAGCCGGCAACGTATCTGCAATTCCACTGGTGTTCGTGGGTGGCGGTAGTAACTTACCACCAAGTGAGCCGCATGCTCGTTTGCCCCTGTAAAAATATTATTATAGGTACGTGTGTGTATAACTCATTGGTTCCAGGAACTATATTATTGAAAACTACTAATGAGTTTATTTAGTATTGCGCTAGTACAAGTTCGACAGTGTAAATTATTGTATCCAAAACATTCCTCATACAGCTGAAACAACTTATCATATTTAAAATTACATTTTCAGTTTGACTTGAATTATACTTTGATGGTTGTACTCATTAAAAATACAATACCGGCGCAGGCAGCTATTGAACTCTACTAGTGTCACGACTAATGGAAACGCATGAGTCCCAATGAGCGGGCGTTGCTAATCGATGACGTAGGACATCACCCAATGTATGACGTAGTGTTAGCGTGATCATACTGTCCGTTCTAACAACTAATTGATTTGCCACATAACAATAATTATTTCCTGCTTTGGGGAATGCCTACATATAGTCAGTTTACTTAACAAAGCCAATAGGACAAGGAAAGAGAGATTAAAAGGAAGAAAAGTTTTAAGTGCAAGTTTACCCTTTCATAGACGTAGTGAAGACGTAAGGACATACGCAAAAGTCAACAAGGGTAAATTGTGCCCTGTGAAAAGCTTTGGGTGTTGGTAAGAATAAAGGAGATCGCTATAACTATCAAGCTTTTTTTTTGAAATTTTATAATTGAACTTCATGTTAATTTCTTTTGTTTTGGAGAACGTCTAATCTATTCAATCAAAGCCTATAAATGTCTACAGTTGAACATAGGCTCCTAGGATATTTGCCGGAGCTGCCACGCCTGGCAGGCGAATCGGCAACCGTGGCTATGTACCATTTTAAGTTGTTACGAGGAAGCGCTGCTTCTCATCTATTGATTCAATTTCCCACTCTCACTCTTACGATACTCACGGAACCATATGGGTTAGTGGATATTCTTGCACCGCCACTATGCGTTTACAATGTTCTGCGTTCTCATGTAAGTATATAAAAACTCATGCCTTGTATTATTGTACTAACATTTTTATAAAATTTATGTGAAATCTATTTTCTTGTTTTTAGTTTTGAAGTATTAGGTAAGAGGGCTTTGGTCTGCAATTTCACATTGGCCCTTTCTACTACTACACTATTGTTTATTTTAGGAAAATGAAAAGGGAGTTATGCTAAAAATAAAACGAAATATTTATGAACAGAATCATTATTTAATCAATGTTATTTAAAGAATCATCACCGTTTGCATAAAAAATTAAAACACTACCTTACATAGGAAACATAAAAGCAATATATTTAGTAACATTTTCATACACATTTGAAATTTATTTTAATTTTACGATTTTGTGCATGACTATACTACTAGATTGAGAAAGTATTTTCCTGATCATGTCATTAGCTTAACAAAATTTAATTACTGTAATAATAATTGCTTATTTTTTATATTTACACTTGTCTTAAAATTAATTAAAGAGTATTATCAGTTTTTAATTTGGCGCATCATCTGGCATAGTATATTGTTAACAAGACTTATAATTTATTCATAAATTATGTACTTAAATATAATTATTTGTTTTCATAATAAATTGATATCTATTGAGTTTTTTCCTTAAAATACATGCTTCTACGAGATATATTTTACAATATATAGTATGTTATGTTTAATGAAAGAAAGTAAAAAGATAATTTAGATATTATTGAATTATCATCATAAATTGTTTTATTTACATTTTTATTCCTACGCAACGATTTTAAAATTTGGGATTCATTTAAGGAACCCTGTTATATTCACAATATAAATATTACACATGATATTTTTGCTTTATTTAACATTAAATCAAAAGTGAATCGTAATATAATTTATATAAATATCTGTCAAAAAGTGGAAATAATTTAATTAACAAAATCTAACTTTAAAACAAAAATATCGACTTATTTTTAAATTTCATTGCGCTTTCCCTTAAAATATTATAAATTTTAAATATCGCTTAGATATTATCTCCGTCTTGATCAACTAATTCATCAAACAAATTTTCACGTATGGTAAGGGGAAATATGTTGCTTGCTCTCCTATGTGACTTGCTCTCCAAGTGCCAGATGTAAACATACTACAACTATGTACATGTGGTGCCCATTCTAACAAAATAATGAGGTTCTCGCAACTGTATAAAATAAAACTAACTGTTTAACTCAAATTATACAGATTGGCTTTGGGAAGCATTGCTTATGCCAAGGATTAGCTTTGCTCTCGCTAATTTGACAGATGTGTTAAGTATAGAGAATTTTTTATGTAGGTTGCGTGCAAGGCAGCTTAAAATTAATCTATCAGTCGGTTTAATTAAAAGCGATAGAACATAAATAGGAAAGTACAAATTATATCATTTTTCACATAAAATAACTCTCAGAATAATAATGTTAAATATGTAGAATACATTTTATACAAACCACATAATTTATTCATTTAAAAAAGTAACTATTTGATTGTTTCATATCAACTCCATGACTGGGGTTTTATAATACTAGTTAAATAATACTGATACAATTGAGCAATGAAACACAATTGACTACATGTTACGTCATACATCACAACGTTTAAAAATAAAAGTCTAAACGATTAGATTATCATTATACCATCTTGAGCTAAGGACTTTAAAATAATAATGCTACAAAATATTGCTTAAGTGAGAATTATTTAAAAATTTTTTGCTAGCCTTACTCCAGTAACAGCTATTTACAAATAAATTATTTCTGGCGGGCATTGCAATATAAAAGTCTAGGAGATAATTATGTTACACAAATCGTCTTTTTCACAAAACAGCACGAAACGTTTATACGTTTCGTGCCACTAAACTTTAAACTTTAATTTCACGTCTGTATGCCAAATTTAATTTAATTACATAGAATTTTATTTAAAAAAAAGCATTACGATATACACACATATATAAAGATAAACTGACAGACAAACACTTAGGTGATTCCTTGTGTTCCGTTCTGCTGAATATGGCATGAAACACTAAAAACGACATAATTATAATGTAATTTACAGAGAGCAGCAGAGCTTAAGTACTCTTTGGCAGTACTAGCCAGGACATTATTTACAGGCGTTCGAGTACATATTATTAAATATTTTATTATATTGTCAATATAATATGGTGAGTATTCAACATAAAACAATGACATCTATTCCAGGTCTACATTCTATATATTAATTTGTTTTATTTAACTTTGTTTTATATAACTGGTGTCAAAAAAGATACTATTGAAGAAAATAACCTTTTCCTTTAATTAAAAGTGTTGATATGGTCAAGTTATTACTTGACAATTAATTACATACTATGGTTTCAAATCACGCAGTGCATTAAGTCACCTAAGGACATTTCAAATTTTACAAGAATTAATATCTATAACAGAACGCATATAATCCGTCATCCTACAATACAGCGATATGAACAACGGTAAATACTGTACTACCTTCTAAATATACATGTTATGATAAAATAAGGAGCTATTGATTTACAAGAGCTGTTACTGCTAATATTAAGTTATAATATTTTATAGCTAAAATTAGGATTTTAAGCGTAATAGAAATCAAATCTCCTGGACGGAAAGGCAGAGAATTGAATATTGCCAATGAATATCAATATTTCTAATCAAGACTAATATAAACAATAGTTTAATGTTCAAAGTTTTACTAATACGCTTAAGATGTTTGGTGTTATTTAATTATGGTACTTAAATAATTCATTATTATTAATACTATTTTATTACTATAACTCTTGTGTCGGTAACTACAATTTATATTTGCAATTATAAACTATTAATTAATTAAAATCTTTACACTTGAATTTAGTGAGCAATTCGAAATAAAGTTACACAAATTAAATAATAAAATATCACAACCTTAAGAAACTATAGCGTTTTGTAGCTTTTTTATTTTGGCGTACTTCTTATTAAAGGAATGTTAGTAATACTGAAATATGACTAGAGATTATCAAGAGACACAGAATGAACCTAGTACATAATGAGTTTATATAAAAGACTACTAATAATTTAATAATTTGTATAATTCTTTATTAAAGGTTATGTCTTGTTTTGATATGCTAATAGGCTAAAACTAAGCGAGAATATAACTATTATTGAATTATCACAATATAGTTATGCGAACATTCTTAATATATATATGGATATAGTATTGTATTTAACTTTAGATTTGGTCGTTTCAGTAGATTTCGAGTACAGTTGAGTAAAAAAGTAAAACTATATTTTTAATTTATTCAATTCGTTGTCATTAGATTAGTTTAGAATGCAGTTATAGATACACCAATGAATTTTAACGAACAATTATACATTCAAATAAAAGATCGAGACCTACTGAGTGAAAACGACCAAATAATCTATGGGCTAGGTACTGCACTTTAGAATCTTTCTAAACGCCTTTCTGAATTCTGGATTGAAGATTGTGTAGATGACAGGATTGAGAAACGAGTTGATGTATCCAAGCCAAGTGTTGAGAATGAAGACCGTGACACCAGGACTAAATTGTAGTCCAAACTTTCCGCAGATGGCGTCTACAACGTTGCAGGTGAAGAATGGAGCCCAGCAGAATAAAAATACACCTGATAAATAAATTTAAACTCAGTAACTGTATTTTATTTAAGATTAGCATTAATTTCATTTTTATTTTTATTTAAATTTCAGCTTACTTTTACACTTGAAATTATTTATACATTTTCTTAACTTTATTGCCTGAATTCTTGCTGTCTTTTTATTATATAATAAATCCCATAAGGTGTGACCCATTTTCAGCAGACGATAAAATGACGAAATAAAATCATATAATACCATCGATCGAAGGCAATAGTTTTTCTGGTCAGTACTATAACTGACTCTAGCCATGAGTCTTTATTATAGTCGTAGCGCGAATGTGTTCGCTGAACTGGGTTAGCAATATGCTTTGACATAATACCATTGTGGAGTAGCGGTTTACTGCTGCTGAGTTTCGTGTGGCGAGTGTAGAGACCCGAAGATTCTTTAAACTGGAAACAAGGTATTCCATCTTAATCCTGACAACGCATAGCAGCATTTTGATTCGTAATCGAGGATAGATGTAGATGTCCATGTGTCACAGCTTGCACTTAATTTAGATGAACTGTGAGCCCGTTTTTTACCCTTATTTTATGAAAAACCTAATGAAGTGTTTGGACAAATATGAATTAGTAGTTGAAAATGACTTACCTAAAACGATGGCTAACGTTTTTGTAGCTTTCCTCTCTTTTTTAGCCGAGGACTTCTCCCTCTTTTTCTTGCTGGCTTTATTAGCCTTGTAGATGGTAAAGCGAGCTGTTGCAGCGCTGGCTTTTCTTTCTTTTTTGGAGGTTGTACCGTCACGGAGATCATATTGGCTGACTTCGTGATCATCATCAGACCGAAGAGCAAGCGACGCATTTCTAAAACCGATTAATCTAAATCGGTAAATCGATAAATACAACAATATAAATTTTTATTATACCATTACCATCACAGTCTATGAAATTTTACAGCTTAACATAGGCTTCCACCATTGACTGCTTCATTAGGGTTTTGCCTATATAATATAAAGGTGAGTCGCCAACTGCTTGGCAAATTACCTATCTATTTCTTTTATTTATTACCCATATATTACCCATATGTTACCTATTTTTTGTGTTTTTTTTTTGTTTTGTGGCTGCTATTTTACGCTGGTATTGTGCGAGAGTGTGGTCCTACCCCAGTTGAGTCATTTGTGCTACAACCACAATATTGCTGCAGCGTGGCTCTACCTCGTAAAAAACGTCGTAGTGACAGACGATTATTTTTGTATGCCCAGATGCCCCCCGCAAAAATTACGGGCAGTTCTGTATCGGGAAAAATCGCTATAGCTGCTCCTCTCTGCTCTGCCGGTGACCCGTGTTGCTCTATCAGAAAAATGTAAGAAATAAATGTTTTATACGTAGTACCACGATGAAGCTGTTTATTCTCTGCAGTGCAAACGCGTCAACTATACCGGGGGACGAACACGCATAGAATACCAGAGCAAAGTAGCAGCATAATTTTGCTGTGTTTTGTTGTAAATAATGACCTTCAGACCGAATTTTAGTCACGGTTCCCAAGTGTATCTATATACAGTATCAATGCACAGGTGCACTGTCTATTTCCTCACTCTCATAGTCTAATAGGACGGTAAACTGACACGACCGGAGTGAGATCGGTTGCAGGACCAACGGCTTTACATGCTTTCCGAGGCACGGGGTTGAGACACTGCCAACTTCGTAACTCCGGGCAGCTACTGATAATTTCTTGACGGAAAAACTCAATAACATTTTTCGGCCCGATCCAGGATTCGAACCCGGGACCTCATGATCAGCAGTCGCGTCTTACAATCACTAGACCAACGAGGCTATCGCTATGTTTCATTTAGTAGGTGCAAAGAACCGGAGATCCTTTTACAGGTAACAAGTCATTCCATCTTAGACCTTAGTGCTACAACACATCTAATTTAAAATTGATTATTTATCGAGAATGGATATGAGATGTCTATGGGCCAAAGCATCCAGTCAACATCAGATGGCCTGTAAAAATCTACTGCGAGACGTAGACCAAAGGGTGGATTTTGCTATAGTTGCAACGCATGGCAGACGGGTTGGCAAGCTTGTTTTACATATACAAAAATAAAATAAATGTAACAACATAATGCCCTCGTTAATCTTTTGGCAGGTGACGAACTATACTGGAATATATTTGCTTGAAACACATCAGGTGAATTTTCTATTTATTAATGGCTTGATTGCCATAAAAATTTAATAAAAATATACCCCATTTTTTAATTTACAAATTCGGAGTAAATAATGAGCATGCAGTCCTTTAGATAGTAGGTGACATGAAGTGCAGTCCTCCAGATGAAGAGAAAGCATTTCTTCTGAGGGCAAAGAAGAAATTGTCAATCCGTCCATATTGATTTAGCTTATTTTTGGATACATATCGTCCCACCGTTTTGGGTGCCTCGCACGACCTATGGTCAAGGAGGCGGCAAAAATTTGTTCACGTAAACACATAGCGTAAACATGAAAAATCAATACTTCAAAAACCACTACTGAACACAGCCAGTGGTGATGGTATTAATTTTTCATATTTTTTCATGCTCATTGCCGTTTAATCTGGAATACTTGGTGTGCACTGTTGCTTGGTGATAAATTCCGTAAAAAAGAAGCTTAATACTTGTAATTTCTTTTAAAACTTGTAAGAAAATGTTCCTATTTCTAATATATCTTGCACTTACCTTGAGTCTGTATCTATTCTTGCCATTTTTCCGTTTTTCCTCCACTTTGAATCGCAAGACATATTCCGTAAAACCGTGGCTCCCTGTAATCCCGGAGATCCCGGCGGAGTTACGTGTTCCCGTATCGTATCTTCTAAGTTAGAAGCTGCGTAACCCGAATCATTATTTCCATTCGGGTCGGGCATAATTTGCATTTTAAGGCCTTTCTTGGTTGTCCTGAAAACATGAATGTTTTTGCTATTATTCGTAATATCATTTAATATGTGACTTTTTTGGATTTTTGTTTAATCGGGTCATGTACAGCGATCGTAACTGTGTCCCTTATTTTTATCGCTATTTCTGTATTCATATCATGAAGACATGTAACTTTGATTTTTATAGGATGTCTTTGAATAAAAATACTTCCGCAGCAGTGCTACGGCCGGTTATTTTTATTTATTTTGATAGGTGTGATTTCTGTATTTGTTAATCATCACGCTGGATCGAAGATGATCAGCTTCAAATGTGCACGTTGTCGGGATTGAACGTCCAATAAAAATATATAGAGATTTTTTACCTTTAACGGCACTGTCATGGTGTCGCATTAGCTTAAATAGACCAAATAACAACTGAAGGCTAAATCACGCTATTGGAGGTATTGAACGACTCGACTCTCGACTTGCATATTATATAGAACAAGCTTCGTATTACCACACGGAGCGTAAGGAGCTCCCCGGTCTGAATACTTTGTCCATTTAGAGATCTTTCTTTTTCTATCGGATATAATAAAAGGTTACCAACTGCGCAGAAGATATGATATGATGATGGACGAGATTTTTCGTAGAAAGCTGGATCTAGATTCTTGTCTTGAAAAGTAGAACTTTGGCCGGTCAGCTAGAAGAAATCATAGGTAAGTACTGCCCGAATCGAAAAAGCTGTTCACGTGACGTCATGTCCAGAATAGGAGAATAGAAAAGAGGGACATAGAACAGATTCAATATATTGGTGTAAGTTAAGAGAGAAAGCCCTCTACAAATACTGTGTAAATTTCTTGAGATCTAACACCTATAACCGTAAGGTTGGTGAAACCGTGAGAGGTGAACAGAACACACCGTGCTAGTGGGGCACTTACCCTGACTTAACTAGTCTAAGTTATAAGTAATAAGAGGATGCCTGTGGGAAGCGGTACGACGTATCCAGCCTGTAACTTTACTGTGAAATTTTAAATATAAGCCAAAATAATGATTAAATTTGAAATTTATAGATGCTGCCATAAAAATTATTTAAAATAAAAATGTAACGCTACTCGCTATACACGTCCCACTGCTGAACATAGGAATGATTTTAGAGCATAAAAGTGTTCGCCGTGCCAATGCGTTTTGGCGGACTTCACATTTCTTCGAAATATTTCTTTTTTATTTATTTATTATATATGCAGATTTCTTCACGATGTTTTTCTTCATCGGTCATTCTTTGGGCACATGGTAAATTAGCATTTAAAATTGCAATTAACAATTTTATTGGTGCCGGCGGAAAAACTTATTTAGTGTGCAATAATTACTTTGTTTGTTCTTCAGTTACAGACGCTAGCATGAACTCTGTGGATTTATCATTTGGGATCACGTGGCATTCGTTCACATCAGCCTCCAAGTCTCCAGATCTCTTGTCAAAACTGAAACAAACAGCAAAACAAAAGAAGTTATTGAAAGAATTATAGATAATCCATCATAACGTTCGATATCATTACCATACCGCAGATTTAGAATTCAAATTGCAGGTGGAGCGAAGATTTATAAACCCTTATCTTTTGTAAATAAGTCAAATACTTTGTGTGTGTTTTTTTAAATAAGTAAAGATGACAAGAGAGCAAACAGCCCACATGATGCGTTGTCACACCTGAGGATTCAGGTGAAGAAATAGAATGCCAAATGTCCTTGATGAGTTATTAAGATACAGAGGCAGACAAGAATTAAAGCATTTCAAAGCGTTGAATATAATATTCACATCGTTACAATTGCAGCTCCTCTGAAGTCCGCTACTGAAGATAGTCCTTCCCCAAGGAGTACCACAAAATACAGTCCTGAGCCACCTGCATCCATCGACCTCCTTCATGTGATATTTTTATTGGTTCTTCGGGTTATATGCCCGGCCTATTATCACTATAGTTTACTGATCCGGTGAGCTATTCTGTCATGCAGATGAACTCAAAGCATAGCCCTCTTCTTTTCCGTCTGTGGTCAGAATGTAAAAAAAGTATGATACTAGAATATGGCAAGCATGGAGACTATTTCACCTTTGTATTATATATTTGCTGTGGCATTCCGACGTAAGATAATTTATACGAGATGATTATGTGATATAAATCCGAAGGTGCCGCAATGTGTGACAGAGAATATAACACAGAGCATGAAAAACAGCATCTTTTTGATAACAAATTATTAAAACAAGTATAGTAGCCAACTCTTCTACTGGCAACATAAACTCTCACAACTGTGGATCTTACGGACTTAAATAGGGCAGTATCCTGACATATCTCTGTTCGTTCTTTAACATCTTTAGTTAAGGGGAAATATAATGTCAAATGGCTTAGCAAGATCCTTCGTTATGCCGAAAATATTGCAGCATTAATTTTGAAATAAATATATGGTAAAGTTGAGGATTAATGTTAATGATTATGTTAGACGAAAACACGATTTCGTAAAATTTTCTCGATAGAAAAAAAATCCAAAGTTACCTCCAAAATAAACAATAAACCGCTATTATTCATAAAATACTTTAAATAAGATCATGAAACTTTCCATACTAACTGAACTAACTATAAAGCAGTGCTTATGTTACTTACTTTTTTTAAAATACCATTATTTTCACTGTAAAAAGAAATTACCTAAACTATCGGCGTCTTGAGCTTGATTTCTGTCGCCCGTTAGTATCGCTTAGGCTTTTGAAGGGAGAAGTTGTGTCGCTTACGATCAGATTATACATTACGCAACAGTACGACGTAAAATTAAAATGGGAAATAACCGTGATAAAAATAAGAAGCGGCTGGCTTGGCGTTAAGAAACAGGTATAAATATGATAAACCTAATGAAATAAGTGTCTAACGACCTATCTACTTACAGTATTAGTGACTACAAACATATCGCTACATAGCATACGACGCGCGGGGAAGTGGGGGCGAAATTAGAATTTGAGCTGACTTACTCTATCCTCTTAAGGATACAAAGGAATAAATCTAACAACTATGGCAAAAATCCTCCTACAAGGTAATTTATTGGGAGACCTACGTGCATCGGTAAACTTCTGATGGCCTAGTGTACTGATTAGATAGGAAGATGACCCTATCAAAACCAAAAATATGCACACCTCTAACGTGAAGCCAATAAAATTACCCTTATTGTCGATTTGTTAAAGTCGCATTTCCCGTTTACAAAAAACAGTTTCTTTGTTTTCATAAAAGACCAACACGTATAGATAACACGTTACTCCTAAAAGTTATTTAAATTTAAAATAATTAACAAATACCACTTAATGTATAACTTTTTGGTTTCCCAAAACATTCTCAAAAATTTCTTGGATTAAATATAGCCTAGAACATTCCTGGTATTGCTTTATATATATATATATATATATATATATATATATATATATATATATATATATATATATATATATATATATATATATATATATATATATATATATATATATAATCCAGCATTTGTCCTAAGTCATGTGGTATTCAACGCAGAATAATAATTCTTCGAACAAAATGAAACGTTGGCAGGAGGCAGATTACATGGGAAGTACGTCACCCAAACGAAAAAAAAAAGGGACCAAAAAATGTGTGGACTGACTGTATCATGAATATGCATGAAGCTGAGTGGTGTGTGCAAATCGTAATAACTTGAGATACATAGCCCCTGCTTGCGAAAATAAAAACAGTATTAATATTTATAAAGGACTGTATATCGTTTTGACACCAAGGTCATATGAAAGTAAATATTTTTTAACATTTTAATGATTTCAAAACGTTTAATGACTTTTAACAATTTTACTGTTTAGTCATATTTTAGTGTTTAAGGAGTGTTATTACTTAGCTTACGTAGATATACTACTCAATTATACATACCTATGTTTTAAATAATAATAATAAAATATTCATTCATTGAACAAAATTAGCAAAGCGTTTAAAAAATAAAACTAATATAAGAAGGACAATGAGAGCTCTGACTCAACATACGCTACAAAAAATATACAACGCTGTTGTTCTGTCAGCACTCGTACACTCAACTGCCTCATTACTCTAGTGGTTGTCAATGCGACTGCTGATCATGAGGCCAAGTTTTTCCGTCAAGAAATTCTTAGTAACTGCCCGAAGTCGGCAAGTTGGTGGTGTCTCAACTCCATGCCTGTAAAGTCGTTAGTCCTGAGCTCATCGCACTATGAGAGTGAAAGAAAAGAATTCACCTAAGCTTGCCCAAACACTAGGCACTAAAATAATGTCCTGCGCCGATGGCTAGACTCCGCTGAGGCTGGCCGCTGTGACCTAAATTCGGTCTGGAGGATATTATTATTACTTAACGAAATATAGTGAAACAGTATGCGTCCATCGCTGAATATAATATAACAATTGATAAATAACAACTGATTTATTTAATTAACCAGTAAAAATATTTACTTTTACATCAATTAGTTAAAGCCAAGATTGGACAATTGGCGAACACTGTTTTATAAGGAGCCAGTATAATTGCGGGCTGACTGACTATGTTTGTAGTTGATTACAGGATTCTATTGGCTGCAGTAACCACTTACTATCATATTGATTAACTTCTTTGTAGCATCAATTTTTATTTAAAAAAAATCAGATTTTTGTAAGATTACTGTAGCCTTTGTTTGAATTTGATGTTTGATATAACTGAAGATGAACCTTTTTATTACCTACCTATTAAAAGTTTGTGCAAAACTTCCGCGCTCTAGTTCACTTTTCACATATTTCGTTGGTAGTACTGATTTATTTATTTATTTGTTTATTTTATTTATTTCTTTAACTCATGCTAGAAACGTGCAGTTGTACAGCAAAACTGGAGGTATTTTTTGATCTAACCGGTAATATTGGTACTAATTAGAAAAGTGCTCGAAGCTGTAGGTAGAATTGAGAGAGTTTCTGTTAATATAACTGAAGTAACAAGGGCAACCACAGTCTACCCGGTAATTGTTTATGACAGTCTATATACCTACATCAAACTTAAATCAAAGAAGCCTACAGATGCGTTGTCACCTCTAAGGACTAAGAAGGAATGCGAAACAGTTTTTAATTATAATGGCTCTTTTTTACCTTTCAGATCAGAACACAGTAGTTTTTTTTATAGAATAGGATGACAAACGAGCACATAGTTCACCAGATGGTAAGTGGTTACTGCGGTCCATAGACATCCACATCTATCCTCGATTACGAATCAAAATGCAGATGCGTTGTCACCCGTGAGGATTAAGATGGAATGCCTCATTTCCAGTAAGAAGGGTCTCCGGTTATCTACACTCACCAGACGAAACATAGCAGCGTTAAGCTGGTATTCTGTGAGAGCGTGGTCCTTTCCTGGTCGAGCTGACCCATTCGTGCTACAACTATAGCAGTAATATAGCTGAAGCATTACTCTATCACGTATTCTTGTATATATGTATTATTTGGTGACATAAATAAGTAAGAGGGTGCGACCTGTCCAGATATACTCCTAAGTAGTAAAGAATTCTTACCACCACATGATCATCGCAAATCTTGGGGGGCTTTTTCATACATTATTCGTTCATTGCTGCCTATCAAGGTCTACTGCAGAACAAAGGCCTCACTGGAGATTGCCTCATTAGGGGGATTGACCGTGCGGTGGTGGTGTATGAATACCTACTACCCCATATCGTCCCGTGAGTATTGTAAGAAGCGCTACGAGGAACAAACCAGGAGATGAACATCACCGTTTAAATTATTGTTTCTAAGCTCATATTATCTATAGGTGAAAACTTGAAAATATATATTTTTCGTTTTATTAATTTTATTCTACAGAATATAATCTGTAAGTTATCCAAAATTATAAAAATTAATGCTTTACTAATAACTATACAAGAAATAAAAATAACTGCAGTGAGTCAACAATAATAATAATACCTAATAATATTATAATTTCACCACTCTTGTAACTATCACATGTATAAATAACTATTTTATTATTTATACGTAATACACAATGAATGATGGAACATCTTTGTATGAACTAGAAAAATATATATCTGTATTTCAGATCACAGTGCTCTTCCTAATTACATATTAATAGACTGATATAAGTATAACTTAAATTTAAGGTATAGAACAAATAAAATATGAAACTTAATCATAATAAAATGTGTCTCTGATGAAAAATATCAAAATGTAAACCTTTGTGTATATGTTTAATGCATGAGTGTGTGTAAGAGCTGGTTAAAGTAATATTAACTTGTAGTAAGTAAAGATGAGGAAGTTCAAATAATTTAATTTAGCATTTTTTAATTTAAAGTGTACAATTCAGTATTTTTATTGATTTTGTTATAAAGAAATGATGCAAGGTGATAAAAATATTTACTAACGAAACAATTTTTTTTTTGTATATCAATGTAGAAATAGGTCTGTATTTGCAAACATTA